ATGGCCAAGTCAAGTCGATACATAAAATTAATCATCACAGTCCTAAAGTTTCTTCAATAACCAAGTGAAGAGGAGCTCACAGGATGTGGGGGGTCACTGAGATATAAGGAAATGTCTTTCTGTCCAGGATCAGGATTAGGGAAGTGGTAGCCATGCAATGACTCTTCCAGAAGCCTTTCCCCCTCTTCACTCTTCACCTTCAGTAAAACAGGATCCTCCCAACAAAGGTTTATCCTTCTCTCTCCCGCTCCCATCTAGCCTGACCTTCCCACCACTCTGCAAAGAACTTCAAGGGTGTGTGGGAGAGAAGAAGGAAGAAGATATATTTTATCTTTAGCTCATTGTCCAAAACCCCTTGGCTGCTTCCCTCTCATGAGGGTGGACATCTTGGCATCTCCCCACATTTGTGGTAGTTTTGCCATCAGCGTGAGCTTTGGCTGTGATTGAAGGCTGAGGCTGCTAGCTTTTGGAAGTTAAGGGGAGTGGGAGTTATAATCCTGATCTTCTGAGAACACTTGGTGAAATCGTATGGATTAGGACACCTAGCTATAGGTCACGATTCCATCTTGGAATTCTTTCTCTTTCTGTCTTTCTTCCTTTCTTTCTTTCTTTCTTTCTTTCTTTCTTTCTTTCTTTCTTTCTTTCTTTCTTTCTTTCTCTCTTTCTTTCTTCTTTCTTTCTTTCTCTCTCTCTTTCTCCTTCCTTCCTTCCTTCCTTCCTTCCTTCCTTTCTTCCTTCCTTCCTTCCTTCCTTGTTTTATAGAGAGACTTTTGCTATAGGCATGTGCACTTGCCAGAGAGATAGAGAGGCAAAAAGCAAAAAAAAATCACCCCTTCTGCGGAAGGGAAGACCAAGCCACAATCCCTTCTCCTCCATTGTCTTCTCGGGATTTGAGGCACCCATACACACACAACTGGTGTGAGTTTTAAGCTGCTGGGTGTGGTACTCGAACTGTAGTCGACTATGTGGGAGTCCAGCAACATAACTACTATGCCATCTGCGGATCCCCATCTTTGAATTCTTAATAAATCAAGAAGATGTGAGGAAAGCTCTCCTTCCTGTCCTTCATTGTTCACTTGACCATTCTTTTACCATTTCTTTGTTTAAAATGTTAGTTCTGTGAAACCAGCAGGTGGTATGGTGATTAAGGCACTGGATTCACACATGACTGACCACGATTCAAGCCTGGTGACTTGAAAATCATGCTGAGATGCATGTGCGTGAGTACCCAAAATTGCAGGAGAAGAACAGGGGAGAACAGATTGTGGCATCCCCTTGGGAGTGACTTTTCACTTTCCTTCTCACTATCTTTCTCTAAAAAGTACATTCACCCTATGGCAAAAATCTAAACAAACAAAAGTAACAAAAAAAAGTTATCTCTGCATGAGTATGACCCCATAGAATTTAGAAGGGTGTGGTGAAAAGGCGTGTGCATATGTTACTTATCTACTGTTCTTCTCTTCTACCTAAAAAGTACCCATTGCATTACCACAATGGCTACCCATTCTACGTAGACTGGCTTCACAGAGCCCACTAAAGCCTGTAAGTTCTTTATATGTGCACATCTTATTTGTTCTATGGCATAAACAGTTAATTAATAAGTATGGTTTTCTAATGCTAATGAAGAAGGTACATTTTCTATGAAGCTAAAAGCTCTAGCTCTAGAAAATGTTCGAATAGTTTTAGTATTTATGCAAATGATTTCCCGTGACACTTCAATCTTCATTAAGAGTTTACCTACATTTCCCTTTCTATTTCTGAACCCTGATTCCTTCAGTGCCTTAACTTAGAAAGGAATGTGGGTTTATGCACAATTGAATTGTTTTGCTTTCAATAACTTGGAGATCTTTCTAGAGTTTATATTAAGTACAGCTTGCTAACACCTTATACTATCACGATAAACAGCTCAGATTCTTACCAGGCATTCTCTTTCTTTATTCTGCAATGCAAAATTTGGATCGGCGTCAGTGGGAGTGATGTTTATTCTTCTAAAAGAGGCCTTATTCTCACAGGATTTCAGAATACCCTGGTGAAATAGTTTCAGCCATAGGGGCTCAATGGAAGCAATGGAGTCTCCACTGGCATCTGAACCGTGCAAAAGGCAGACTCAGGCAATACATCAGTGTAGAGAATCGTGTTGTCCAGAAAAGCTTTACTGACAAACATACCCTCTGTGTTTATTTCAACATCATGCCAGAAAGACATGCTGTACGATAAGATGACTGTTACTCTCACAGCCATTGTACTGCAGAAGAAATAAAAATCTATTTAGTTTGGGCTTTGCTCAGAAACTATAGCACTGGTCTAGAGCAACTTGCAGCACCCAGAACTTGACTGAGAACCTCATGCATGCCATCTGCCACGGTTAAGTCGATGCTGAAAATTAAGTGACAACTTGAGCTATATAACTTCAGGTGGGATTAAGGAAGTCAATTCGGGATGCCGTGTAATTGTGAGAGCATTTTCCTTTGAATTGCAGTGTTAAAGAGGTAACTGCAAAACACTTGACAGTATTCCAGTTGGCAAGTAGGAGCATTTTAATAAGTCAATACTGCTGAGAGTCCAGTGTAAAAGTTCATCTGAAAGTGAAGTAAATTGGGCCGATGAGCGCTTTCATTGCTTCAAGCCGAGTGGGTATTGGTAGCACGCATATGAGTAACCTTTCAGAATAGTGCACACACCTGACCATATCCTCGAGCAAATGCCATTATAATCCTTGCCATGGTTTTCAAAAAGTAATAATAAACATAATTTACCTTTGACACCAGCATTAATTTGTAATTATTTGGGTAAAAAGATAAAAGAGAGATACTAAGATATATTTTTAAATGACTCATATGCTGGAATTGCCTGTTTCTCATAAGGCAGTCAGTGAGAGAAGATGGCTTCAACCAGGTGATAGTTTTGATTTCAGCATAAGGATTTTAGAAGGGGTGTTTGTGAATGTTCATAACACTTCTTGCTATTCTTTGGGCAATTATTTTATTACCTATGGTAGGTAATCACTTTTTCAATAGATTTTCAAGTTTTCCACCATTTCATCTTTTGCTTTTTGCCATGGTGATGATGACTATGGCTTGGTTGTTAAAATGTTTTTCCCAGGGAACCAGCAGTTAGCATAATGGCTATGTCGCTGGACTCCCAGGTAGTCGACTGCAGTTCGCGTCCTGGACCCGGTGGCTTAAAACTCACGCCGGGCACGTGTGTGTGCGTGCCCAAGATCCTGAGAGGAGAATGGAGGAGAAGGGATTGTGGCGTAACCATCCCCCCTGGGGGGTGATTTCTTGCTTTCTGTCTCTATGTCTCTCTCTGCCTGTCTGGCGAGCGCACGTGCCCTATAGCGAAAACCTCTTCAAAAAAAAAGAAAAAGTTTTTCCCAGAGGTGTTCAAATCTCCTGAAAGGCACGAAGGCTCTCAAAGTTCGCCATATATTCAGTTATTTTTCCCTTCTATTGGGGAATGTTGGGTCATTGGAAAAGCCATAATGTATTTTTCTGTTCTTCTATGCAAAAATGCACCACGACTTTTTCGACATCCCAGTAGTTAGAAATAAATTGACTGTTAACTATTGTTCCCAAGTAAATTCCATCAAGATCCATGTGGTTTTTGCTCAGAAAGATAAATTTCACATTATGGCAACAAATGAAACATGTAATGCTTGCACTGTTTCTGAGGAAATCCCTGTTCAGTCACTGGGCCCATTTGCTATTCAACGTTGCTTCTGGAGAAGGGGGAAGGATCAATCCAACATGACACAGGAGATTCATAATTGTAGATTTCCATGGCTGATCATACCAAAGAAGGTAACAGGGGACACCGTCTCATCCCCCTGGCTGTGAAGCAGAACCTGTTAGCAGGTCAAGTCTTTGTTTCTGCCACCCCAAACGTGAGAGACTCCACTCTGTGCAAACGTGTGAGAAGAATGAAACATGCACACAGGGGCCAAACCCGGGGCGGTGATCTTTGAATGTTGTGAAGTATAGTTGTGTGCAGAGAAGTAAGAGGTAGCAGAATAAACCCTTACTGAATGGCTCTAGGTTGCCACAGTCCAGTCATGGTGATGTGCCCTGCTAAGATGCTGTACTCCACAGGCTGGGACCATGCAGAAGGCCTGGATTCAACTCCTGCACTTACCAACTAAAGACTAGAGCTGGTGGTGTGCACCTGTGATCTTAGCGATTCAGGAAGGCCGAGGCAGGGGAGGCAGGGGATCTAGGCTGGCCGGCCTAGGTAACAGCAAAACCCTGTCTGAAAAAGAGCTGGGCAAGCCTGCAGTCCCAGGTGGGTGGCTGAAGGTGGAGAATCATGACACCTGGACTGTGAGACCTCATCTAAGGAAACAACAACAATAACAACAACTGAGCCAAAATAAAATGCTTCGGGAAGGGAGAAATCCCCGATCTTGACAAGCACGTTAGAGGAAATTCTATCCATCTTCTTTGTCGGTGCAGCTCTCCTTGCCACTATTACTGATGCCTCTCCAAGCCAGGCCTTGTCTTCTCACATCTGCACGTGGCAGCATTTTTATCACAGGGCCCTCCTGCCAGCTTTGTCCTGTGATCGATTATCCCCAACCCACCTACAGCGTGTCCTCATCAACACTACTTTGAATACTTTTTCTGTTAATAATAACATGTAACATTTTCTAGTATTTTAAGGCAGTACTTCCTGTATCCATGTGGCCTCCAATATCAAAAACTGACATTGTAGTAGCATGTCCATTTCTTCATTTTTCTTTTCTTTTTTCTTTTTAGTTTTTGGCTTAAGAAAACCCCAGAAAACAAACAAACAAAAAACAAACAAAAAACACAACTCACTGGAGAGAGACAGAGAGGGTCATTGAACTGGAGACAAATAGAGACAGTGAGAGGGAAAGTGAGAAATTACACCCTCCCACCCCAGCAGGGATGGCCAGGTCACAATTATTTCTCCATCCTCCCGAGATCTTGGGCATACACGCACATGTGCCTGGCGTGCTATTAAAGCCAGCAGGTCCAGGATTCAAAATAATGGTTGGCAATGTGTGCATCCAGCGCCTTAACCACGGCCCCTGCTGGCCCCAACATGTCCATTTCTGAGCTGCGTGCTTCCAGCGAGATGGAGTCGTGTGTCACAGCTTCCTCCGTATTCAGCATGGTTGGACACAGGCCCTCATCTATGAAAGACGTCGGTTCGAATGTGATGGTGAGCTTTATGTACATATTTCAAAGTTTAGATAGCCTTTGCTAGGGTCTTGTTTTGTTTTTTTAGAATCCAGGGATTTAAATGCAGATGTAGGAAATGCTTTTGGAAACTCTTAATCGGTTCAATTTATAGCTTGATCTTGACACTTGGATGTTTTTCGTTGCGCTCAGGACTGCACAGATGAATTCCAACTGAAAGCTCACTTACAACATATGCCCCACCTTCCCACTGCTCAGCAAGTCTCAGCTTCGGGTCGTTTCTCATCAAAACCTGACCTGGAATCCTGCAGTGGTAGCTCAGTTAGAATTAAATAAAAACATTTCATAGGTAAACATTGTTAGTGGTCTCAGTTTTAAGAACAGTTTGTATTCTCTTCTCTAAAAACTAGTCTATAAATTATGGGTCTATATATTAGAGTGAGCAAAATCATGCCATACCAAAGCCAAGATTAAAACTCACAGATGTCATCAATATAGAAATGTGTACATTTGCCAAATTTTTGTTTGCTTTAAAAGTGTATATGTGTTTTATCAGCTGTCTCGTCCCAGCCCTATGATGATGCACAGATTCGTGTTCAAACACCTCGTCCTCGTGCATAGCTTCTCAACAGTCACCCTTAGAGCTATAAGGTTATTTTAAACATTCACTTCCAAACCTGTTTTCCATTGCCTCATACGCACATGTTAATTTTACCTTCCAGAAATTCTATGGGGTCTCAAGCTTCAAAAGAGTATGTTCGTCCTCTCATGACTCTCTCACTTACCTAGCTAGTTATCGTCCATCTATTTATTTAGCTTCTAGCTAGCTATCTGTCATTTATTTATTGAATTGGAAAGTAAAGGAAGTAGAAATGGTATACTGGGTAATTCTGCAAAGATTTAAGCAGCTATTGTTATTTCAGTCTCTTAAATGCCTGTGATAACTCATTCTAACTAATCCATCTGGTCAACAGATTTTCGTGGTATTAACACTTCTGTGCCACAAGTCAAAATTTAGTTTTTGCTCTCATTCTCTGTGAGACTGGAGTTGTGGGTAATGGTGAAGAGCTGTGGAGGGAAACCCAGTCCAGCTTTTATATCTTGCAGGCCAGCCAGGCAGGCAAGTCACAGATCAAGCATGAACGTGAAGCCGTAGACGTTGAACTCTAATTATACCTGAATCGTCTCGAGCAGTTTCGTAAGTCTAGTAACAGCAGGCAATCAAACAATATCTGCATGATTTTTCATTCTCCTTTAACTGGACTCAGAGATTGAGTGAATGGACAGAACCCAGCATGTTGAGAAAGGAATGCAGGCTTCAGAATGGCCACACTGTCTTGGGGGACTGAGCTCATGGTCAGCCCACCTGGGCACCCAGGGAGGCACCCTTTCCTCCATGACTTCTGCTGCCTCAGCAAGCTCCATCTCTGGCTTAAGACAGTATGGTTTTAATTTTATTCATTTGGTCTGTCTTGGGGTCATTATTTTGGTGTTTTATGGTTAATCAGCACTATGGTGTCAACATTTACCAAATGGTTAACCTTTGTTCCTAATGCAAATTGAAATACAATAGTGTCGTGGTAAAGCCAATCACTGCCCGTAGAACCGAAGAGTTGACTGGACACACTCAGCCTATGTAAGCTTGGAGCAAAATGAGAAAACTGTTCTGCTCCATGGGTGTGAAGGACAGTTCAATTTAATCAGTTTTAACATTGTTTAATCATTTGCTCTTACAAACAAAATATTACCTAATTCCCTGGAAAGCCACAGAGATTTGAGGGCCAGGCTGGCTCATGTGCGCAGTCACACATGCAGACTCATGCACACAATGTTCACATACGTTTGTTTGATAAGCACAGGCTGTGTCTGCACAGGGGGTGATTATGTAGGAAGGTCAGGGGCAGGAGGGAAGATCTGAAGACTCACTTGATTTACACTGATGGGACGCCAATTATATTTGCTGTTTCTATTTTTTTGGGGGATGGACGAGTAGAAGCTTTATTGGTTGCAAGTTCTCCTCAGATGCCTGGTCTGCTGGGACTGGATGTTCCTGGTGAACACCCCCAGGCCTAAGCTCCAGGTTTCCTCTGGCCTTCCGAAGGATTTTGTGTAGACCAGGTTCATCTCTTGGGAAAGAATTTCCCTAATGTCTCAGTGTGCTGTGGGGTAGAAAGGACATGCACTGTGAAATCCAGTCGTCTTAAGCTAAAGTCCCTGCTCTGAAACTTAGGGGCTATGGGGCCTTGGGCAAATGACATAAACTCTTTGAGGCTCAATGTCCTCTTTTGTAAAATGGGGAGAACTATGTGTATCTCATAGAGCTCTCATAAAGACTTAAAATAGCATATGCAATGTATTGGCAGAGTCTCCTTCCCTCTACAGACAGTGGTCGTGTTGTTTCTGCCCTTGGGATTGGGATTGGGATTAGACCAGATGAATGTCTCAAGAATGGCTGAATTCTCAGCCTTGGACCAGAGCTTTAGATGGGCAGTTTGAATTTCACTGTAGTTTTATTTGTAGGACTGGGTTAGTTTTAAATGAAAAGTCTATATTCTCAGCTATATTAGGCACGTATCTAAGGCATTTTCTTTTCTTTTTTTTTGGCTATAAATTAATTAACTAATTAATTTTACAAATACTTTATTAATTTATTATTATTATTCATACATTCAATTGCTATACATCATTAGATTATAAAGAGACTTTACCAAGCATGATGCACACCTCAGTCAGTCCAGCCCAGTGTGAGAATACTATACGCGAAAATAAATAGACCTATTAAAGAATCCAAAAAGTTCATGGAATACTAAGAATTAACCTTAAAGTGACACAAGTCAAGAATGAATGTGCACTTGAAATAACTCAAAAGTAAAAAAACAAACGAAGACTACCTCGAAGTACTGTATGTCCCTCGAGGCATCTCAGACTGCAGTAGCAGATAGCGTGGAGTGGACGGTGGTTTGTCGAGGACAAGATGGCACGGTGGATAACCATTAGAATATACACACGCTGATGTGTTTTCTCACGTTTGCCGAGTAAGCTCTGGAGTGATTTGGCCCTTGAATTGGACTATATGCTGGCAAAAGACTCTGGCCCTGGAGCTTGGTCTCCAGGTTTTCCCTGTGAAGTAAGCGCCCTGGCTATGGCTTCAGTGCTGCCAGGATGCCCTCGCAGGTGTGCTGGTTACTTGACACT